TTTTGCGCCCCTTTAATTCAGGAATCCTTTTCGATTCAACTAGACACTAACAACTTTTAAAATTTATTTAATGAAAATAAACACATATTTGACCGTAGCGAAAGTGATCTTGGCTTATCCTTTCAATTGCTGTAACCCTAATATCGACCAAAAAAAAAAAAAAAAAACGGTTAGCAGCGATTTTGTTTCAGAAGATTTATATGAGCACATAATTTTTGGTAGTTTTTTTTCTCTTGTCGTTTTCTATTTTTCTATAAAATCTGTATCTGTAAATGTGGATTGTTAAAAGAGTTGGAAACAATTTTTTTTTTTTTTGCTTATTCTTTTTAAAACGATCGTCAATTAAGGACGGTGGGTAAGTAAGGAAAGTGTGTAACTGCTGTTTAGTCCGTGGTAATCCATACTGAATGCAATGTCACGTTAGCTGAGATTGTCAAGACTTTTTTACTGTAAAAAGGAAATAAGAGATGAACGAATCAACAGCTATTCTCCACAAAAATCATCTTTCTGGGACGAGAAAAACGGTTAAGAAAAAGAAAAAAAAAAAAAACTGACATTGTTATACCAACTGTATTGAGGTGTATTATCTGCAGCAGTAAAAGACTATTTTTTTGATTTGAAAACACAAATTTTTTTAGAACTTGATGACCTTGTAAATTTGTTTGATGTAAAATTCGCTGGCAGTTCATTTTTAGAGAGCAAAAAAAAAAAAAAAAAAAATGAAAATAAAAAAATAAGAAATAAATATAAAATAAGAAATAAAAAAATGAAGCACATTGGAAGCCTTTTTCTTTCCTATTCCTCTCGCCTCCTTACCGCCCACCTCCCCCAGCTGTTCCACTCTCTCCATATTTAACCCTTCCGCAACGGCTTCTGTTCCTGTGATAGATGCTGCTTATAATTGTACCTAGCACCTTAGACCTTTGTTGATCCTTTCTTAGTCGTGCTTTACATTATGTTGGCGATTAATGCAAGAATACGAATACCAGGAAAATTTATGGCCAAAAAAATGCGGAAATTGATGGTGATGATGCGCAAACGATTGACTGAAAAGTTTTTTTTTTT